ACCTGGTTGGGCAGGCTGGCCAGGAGGTAGAGCACGAAGTCCCCCACCCACTGGAGCAGCTGCTGCAGCGCCTGCAGAGTGTTCATGTCCAGGACAAACTCCTCCGTCTTCAGGTTGATCATGACCTTGTCAATGTCTGTGGGGACAGGGGAGGGCGGTCAGGGGACATGGGGAACCTGGCTCTGGATCCCCCCAGGTCCCAGGGTGTGGAAGTGGACCTCGACCACCTGCATCCACAACAGCTGGCGCCACTACCACAGCTGTGCGGAAGGAATATCTCACAGCCGTGAAAAGCAGGCGATCTACCACGAGGTCGCGCCCTGCCGGCCCCGAGGGCTGTGTGAGACTGCGTGGCACAGCCACGGCCCTCAACCTGCTATGTGGCCCAGGATGGCGCTGGACCCTCACGTTTAGGCAGCACCACATCTGGTTTACCCCGGAGAGGTGATCTGCCACCTGGCCATGCCTCAAACCCAACCAACATCAAGGCTACGAAGGCTGCACAGTTCTTGTGCCCGGCCCCCCAGCACCCACCCCAAGGGCTGGTGCTGGATTCAAGGGTCCTCACGAGCCTCGCCCTTTACAGATGGGGAAGGCCCCACACCCACCCACGTCAGTGATCTTGGCGCAGATCTCGGCCAGGCGGTCCCCGGGGCTCTTGTCAGGGGTGTTGAGGAAGTGTGGGCGCAGCAGGGACTTGAGCGTGGACGTGATGGCCATGAGGAAGAGCTTCGTGTGGTAGTCGCACACGCGGGCCACCGTGCAGGGTGACAGCTTGCACAGCGAGGCCTTCATGGCCAGGATCCGGGTGGAGAGGACCTGGGGGGCACAGGCGTGAGCGGAAGGCCCGGCAGGTTTGGGCTCACACCCAGTGCCCAGAGCAGGGGATGATGGGAAGGAGCCACTTGGCTGGGACAATTGCCAGGCCACCAGAGGCAGGCGGGTCACTCTTTGGGCTTCCCTCTTTGTGACTCAATGGGCAGTGAGGACGCCCACTAGCAAGGGTGGCAGTGGCCAGTGGTGAGTCCCCACACTTGGCTGTGCGCCCCAGCCCTCCCTGGCTGCTTTGTTCTGAGGCAATGTCTTGCTCTGCACCCAGACTGACCCCACAATTGTGATCCTCCTGCCTCAGCTTCTGGAACGCAGGGCCCACAAGCTTGCACCGCCCCCCCAGATTCTTGCAGGCGAGTCAGGATCGGGGTCACCCTCTGTGAAGAGCAGTCCCTACTCCCCTCGGCCCTGGTAGCCAGTGGCCAAGGCCTCTGGCAGCCCATGTGGGCCACATGACGCACCCCTCGGGCCGGTTCTATTCTAGAAGAGTCTAGAGAGCCCCTGAGCTGGGGGCAGAAGTGAGGATTTGCAGTGTGGATCCCAGCTACCCACCAGGGTCACTGCAGGGCGCTCCCGGCACCCGCGGGGCCCTGGGCTCCACCCACACCAGAGGGGAGGGGCGTGTGTGAGCCCCGCCCACCTGCTGCAGGGCGGGCTTCTGCCGCGTGTACTCCTCATGCAGCCGCTCCACCAGGCTCTGCACCATGCCGGGCTGCACGTGCAGCAGGATGTCCCACCAGTCGTAGCCGGTCACCATGCAGTACTCCAGCAGAAACAACAGGTGCTGCAGGGCCAGCTTGGGCTCCAGCGGGTGGCCCAGGGAGGGAGAGATGCGCAGCATGCTGAGCTGCAGGGAGGCTGGGCTGAGCAGAGGGGGGGGTGGCCGCCGACCCAAACCTCCCTCCGCTCCCCAACATCCGCCCCCAACGTCCGCCCGCCTCCCGATCTGGTCTGAGCACTCACCTTCCCATGGTTGTCGATGCCCACCAGGGCCAGGGACGTCCAGGACAGCTGCATGGCTTTGAAGTGGACGGCCGGGCCTGCGGTGCGCGGGCGCTTCAGGGCCGGCTCGTCCAGTGAGCGCGGGGCTGAGCTGTAGAGGACGGCCATGGTCTGCAGTGACAGCCGGTGTACCATGTGCACGCTGCCATCCTGGAAGGCCAGCGCCAGGCCTGGGGGTAGGGAGTGCGGTCAGGGCAGGGTGGGCAGCGGCTGCCTTCCCTGGCTCCCTTCCCGACCTCAGGAACGAGAGCCCAAGCTCCATCCCTGGGTCCTCCGGCTTGGCTACGGCCCCCACCCTGAATGCATTCTCCCCATCATAAGGACAGCCAGGAAAATAAGGACCCAGAAATACAGGGGCAAGGCCACCTCACCGCCGAGCAGCTGGGAAGGCACCTGGCTGACGTACAGGCAGGGACCTGAGGGCTCGAACCCTGGACCATACATACACTTTCAAAAGGATTTCTCCCCGCGTTCCCAACTCACCGCCACTTAGCCATAGCCCCTTACATGGTAAGGAGCACAGCTTCCTACTGATGGGCTACAGGTGTGCACACCTTAGAAACTCTAACTTTTCGTTAGTCAGCTACAACTCTTTACATATTAAGGGATGCAGCTCTGTGTTAACTAGCCATAGCACTTTATATATTAAGGAGCACAGCTCCTCGGCAGGACCCCTGGTTCTGGGGGACAGCCCACACTCGTCACATGAGATCGGGAACCCACAGCTCTCAGAACCCACTTCCCACCCCACAGGTCCAGGCGCTGTGCTGGCCGCTCCCAGGCTGAACGTACCGAGGCCGGGGTAGAACTGGGTGTCACTGGCCACCTTGAGGTCAGTGTTGGTGAGGGAGATGGGCAGTTTAGGCAGTGCCACCGCCGAGACGCGGTCCAGGTCGTTGGTGGCTGACAGGATCCGCCACTTGAGAATCATGGGCTGTTTGTCACCAACTGGAGAGTTGGGGACAGGAAAAGGAGGGTGTGGGGGGGCACAGAAAGCTGAGCTCCACCTCAGGGCGGCAGGGCCCCTCCGGTCCCAACTCAGGGAGAGGACTCAGCATGGCCAATCAGAGCACCTCAGCCTGCTGGCCTGAGGGTCACATGACCTGAGGACCAGCAGGATCCAGTCCAAGGACTTTTCTCATATTTTTTGAAAGAGGGTCTCACGGACCCTGCCCTGGCCTTGAACTCTTAACCTCCTCCTCCTCCACTGGTGCTGCGATGACCTTAGGCCCAGGGAGGGAGCCCCGCCCCTCTGAGCTCTGGTCCCCATCTTTGAAACCAGTCCTGAACCCAGAGAGCAAGTCCCCCTCCCAAGGGGAAACTGAGGCCGGAGTGGCTGTAACCCTCTGTCTGGAGCAGTCAGGGCTCCCTACACTGAAGGCTGCGTTCTCACAGGGACGCAAAAAGCAGAGGTGGAGGCGGGACAAGCAGCCGGTCATCCCAGCTCCAGAGGCAGAGGCAGGAGGATGGAGCTACAGAGTCCAGGACTTTTCTCAAAATTCAAACCAACAAAACCCGGAAGTCAGTGGCCAATGGTAGCCAGCCACTGGTTGGCCATATCCCTGCCTTGACCACAGCCAGCTTCTGTCACCATGGTTACCGTGCCTCAGCCTCACGGCCAGGCACCACCCACTGGGCAGGAGAACTAGGCCCATCCACCCTGGGCCAGGCGGGGATGCGCACAGAAGGGCCAGTGGGCATGTGTGGCAGGCGCAGGCCTGGTGCGCCAGCCCTGCCCGCCAGCCAGCCCCACTGCCCGGTGACTCAGAGCCATCTATCTGCAGGAAGCCCAGCGGGGACCCTATTCACATTTAATTACTCGCTGGCCACAAAGGGCAGCTTGCTGTAACTGCAGGGAGAGGCCTCTTGACACAGCTCCATTATGCCGCCAATTAGGTCCGCTGGCCACCTCCACAGCCACCGGGTCCATTAGCGCTCCCGCCTCGTCTCCCTCTCCTCTCTGTGGTAGGGAAGGTCATGCCAGGGCTGAGCCAGGCTGCGGCTGTGGCGGCAGGGCAGCTTTAGGGAAGCAAGGTCCCCACTGGTAAGGGAGAGTGGTGGGGGTCTGGGAGACCCAGGAGGGTCACAGGGACGCTCTGCAGAGGTGAGCTGCGAAGGCCAGTGCACTGCACTCAGCTCCAGCCTCCGCTCTGAACGGGGATTTCTAGAGGATCCCGTGGCTTTTGAAGTAAAATGCCTCCCGTGGCTGTTCGTGCCTCGACAGCTCAGCCCCTGTTCACTGGCCCCTGCCCCAGGGCCTTTGCATAGGTCACTTCTTCAATCCTGGGGGTTTCCAGGCTATCCTGCCTAGGGAGCCTTAGCATCCCACTCTAGCCAGGAAGACAACAGCCTCCTGGGACTGTGGAAGAAGTTAATCTGAGTAAATTAACAGGCCACACCTTTAAACTCCGGGCTCAGGAGGCAGAGAGGGCAGAGTTCTGTGCATTCAAGGCCAGCCAGGGACACACAGTGACCCCCTTCTCAAAACAAACCCCCAAATCCCACAAGCTAACGGACCCCTGGCGGCTCCCGACCCCTGGCCGACTCACCCACAGGCGAGATCTGCTGGAAGATGTTGTTCACAGGCAGACCCTCCTTCCGCAGAGACCAGCACTCCACCAGGCTGCTGCTCTGGCTGGATGCACACAGGAGCACCTGGGGGCAGGACTCGGTGAGGACCGGGTGGAAGGGCAGGGTGGAACGGCTGTGCCGGGCACCTGCCTCCCACGCCTCAGCTGCATCCTCCAGCGCTATCGGCACAGGATGCCAGGGCCTTCAGGACGCTCGGGGCCTCGGGAATTCACCAGTGCAGTAGGAACCCAGGTGAACCCTAACCAGGGGGACGAGAGTCCCAAAGACAGGTCAGGATGTATCCCCAGACAGGCAGAAGGGACCCAGGACAGGGACTCGAGCTGAGGACCTGAGCTGGGGAATGGCCTGGACCATCCCGAGCCTGGTTTCACTGTGGGATTGTGAGGTAGGACAGTGAGAAGCAGAATGAATGTGAGACACCGTGCCAGCTCTGAAGGCACAGGAAGAGGCCACAAGCCAAGGGATGCAGGGCCTCTGGATGCCGGCACCAGTGGGCCACCAGGAGGGACCTTCCCTGGCCCACCAGGCCGTCAGATTCTGCCCAGGACAAGCCATGGCTGGCTGAGCTAGGGACGCGGCCCCACTGACCTGCTCAGACATGTCCCGGGCCAGGAACTTGAGGTGTGTGATGGCGGGGAACCTGTCCTTGCGGTTGGGGTCGGTGGTACAGCGCATGAACAAGGAGGGCAGGATCTCGGTGTCGATGCGGCACTTCTCGCTCACCACGCTCACGCACACCTTGTAGAACTTGACGGGCGACGCGCTGCTGCCGTCCGCCGCAGCTACCACGATGTTCCCGCCGCCCGTGAAGGCGATGTCGGCCAGCGCCACCCGGCCACGCAGCCGACACAGGCTCTCGGTGGACGTCAGCACCTGCCCGCTCGGCTTCAGCAGGGACACAGTCACCAGGCCGCTGACCGTCACCGCGATCCAACCTTCCATGGGCTTGCCGCCAAACAGTGTGAGCGAAGGCGAGAACTTCACTCGGGAGAACTTCTCCCCGAAGCTGGAGGCACCCGACTGCAGGAAGGGGGGTGGGAGGAGGGGCTTGCTCAGCTCCCGGGGGTCCCCCTCCTTGGCCCCCATGAGGTTGGCACCAGCGTGGCTTGCTCAGCTCCCGGGGGTCCCCCTCCTAGGCCCCCAGGAGCGCAGCACCAGCGTGGCTTGCTCAGCTCCCGGGGGTCCCCCTCCTAGGCCCCCAGGAGCACAGCACCAGCGTGGCAGAACTGCAGACGGCCCTGACGCTCAGTCTCCTCTTCTGTGATGCGCAAGCGGTGACATTTTTCTCAGGGGATGGAGCTTGGTACTTCACTCTGTCTGACCCCACGGTCCCTGCCTTGGCAGCAGAGGCCGTGGGATGCAGATGGCGCTAGGCTGTGGCGCCACCGGAACTTCACTGAGGAGCGGGTGGGGCGGCATGCATCTCCTGTGGAGTGCCCTCAGCACCGGCCACTCTGGGTCTTGTAGTCTGTGTTCCCAACCGGTGTAATTACATACAAAACACACCTTGTCTCAGACAGGGTACGTGGCCCAGGCTGGACTCAAAGTTACGATCCTCCTGCCTCAGCCTTCCAAGTGCTGAGAGGACAAGCATGCACTACCATGACTAGCTCAATAAAACTATTTTTTGTTTTTGGTTTTTCGAGACAGGGTTTCTCTGTGTAGCCCTGGCTGTCCTGGATCTCACTCTGTAGCCCAGGCTGACCTCGAACTCACAGAGATCCGCCTGGCTCTGCCTCCCGAGTGCTGGGATTAAAGGCGTGCACCACCACTGCCCGGCATCTGCCTTTTTTTAAAGAGTTGTATTGGGTGGGTGTTGTGGAATATTACCTTAACTATGTAAAGATGTGTTACTGTTTCACCTTGCCTGACTAAGGCACCTGATTGGTCTAATAAAAAGCTGAATGGCCAACAGCTTGGCAGAGGAGGGACAGGTGGGGCTGGCGGGCAGAGAGAATAAATAGGAGGAGGAATCTAGGCAAGAATGAGAGAGCCAGGCGGTGGTGGCGCACGCCTTTAATCCCAGCACTCGGGAGGCAGAGGTAGGTGGATCTCTGTGAGTTCGAGGCCAGCCTGGGCTACAGAGTGAGCTCCAGGACAGCCAGGGCTGCACAGAGAATCCCTGTCTCAAAAAGAAAAAAAAAACAACTAAACCAAACCAAACCCAGGAGAGAGCATGATGGGAAACCAAAAAAAAAAAAAAAAAAAAAAAAAAAAAAAAAAAAGAGAGAGAGAAAGGGAAAAGAGGGAGAGGAGACGACGCCCAGGGCCGGCAGCCGCCAGCCATGCAGAGCAGGACACACAGAATGAAGGAAAGGCAAAAAGCCCCGAGGCAAAGCGCAGATGAGGAGAAGCGGGGTAAATTGAGTCCTAAGAGCCAGTGGGACGAGCAGAAGCTAAGGCCGAGCATCAGTAACTAATAACAAGCCCCTTGTCATGATTTGGGGGCTGGTTGGTGGCCCAGGAAAGCCTGCTCCAGGTGGGAGTGGCCTCAGCAGGCAAGTGGAAGCTGCTGGGCCCCAAGGACCTGAACAATCATGGAACCGAGGCCTGGCCATGTCCCCTTCCTCCCAGGCTGCCAGCTCCCCTCCATTATCAAGGAAATGGACTCTCAGATGTCCTGAGTCTAACTCAGGGTACTCACTCCTCACTGGCTGAACTCTAGAATATACATAGATGGGAACTCTGGGTTGTCATTAAATCAAAGTGGACTGGGGTCCGAGGATCACAGAGCAGCCATCTGTGAAACAGGATGCCACTAGACGCTGGCGTCTGTGAAACAGGGTCACTGTACGGGACCATCAGCGAAAGGGGAGGCTGGGGGACAACAGCCGCCGTAGTTCAGTATGTTTATGGGGACAGGCGCTCAGGGACGGCAGTTACTGACAGGAACTGCAAACAGGCGCAACGTGCAAACAGGCGCAACGGTGAGCTGGGCCGCAGCAGACAGAGAGCGCTGGCTGATGGCCGTGAGAAGAGCAGGCTAGCCACCCAGCTCCACCCCAGCAGCCCCTCAGCACCGGGGCACTCACCTTCTCCACGTGCAGGGCCAGCTTTACACCGTTGTGCAGCCAGGACAGAGCCACGATGGGGTCCCCCTCCACCTGGCTGCCCACGGAGCTCTCCCAGCTGTTGGCCAGGTGGTCAGCCATGCTCCAACACTTGATCTGCCCATCAGCGTCGGCCGACAGCAGCCGGGAGCCTGTGGCGGCAGGGGCGCATCAGGAGCCCTCCCAATGGACAGGAGCG